TGATCGTCGTCAGATGTCGGGGGTAACCAATGGTCAACTATGGCATTCTACAATTTCTACTAGTGACAGTCTGACCGAGTTCATGTGAAACTCACTCGCTGAACTCATGCAGTGATCGGCAGCAAGGTTGCTGATCATGGGCCCCACTTGGCACATGCAGTCTATTTTAAAAGCAGCCTCATCTTGGCTGGACGATCTTCACTTCGATACAACGACACTACAAACCAGCGCCGCTCTAATTCCTTCACGATGCTCCACGCGCCGCGCGGATATTGCTCCTCCTGAGTTGTCTACGCCTACTTCGGTAGATGCACGACCGCAAATCCCTCTCTAAGCTGTCTGATAGTCGATCTCCTTCTCCGGTATGCACCGTCAAGGCAAAGCACGGCTGTATACAATGACCCAACGGCCCGGTGCTCATTCCATCCCCTCGACTACGTTCAAAGAGGAAAGAGCATTGTTAGCAGGCCCACTCACGATTCGAGCGAGAAGGATGCCGTCCGAATAGGAAGCCACACAAGCTTGAACACCAATGTCTGCCAGCGAGTACTTAACCACGCAGCCGGTCTGTCCAAGTAGTATTCTTTTCCTATCATCACTGTCGTTACCAATACCGTACACTCCTGAGCAGCTCACCAACTCCAATAAACTATCAATCCGCACCAGTCATCCTTCACACCACCACCAACACCACCACCAACATCCCCACCATGAAGAACGTCCTCGCCGCAGCGGCCCTGGCCCTCCCAGCCTTCGCCCATGCAGCCAGCACCGGCTTCCAGCAGCAACAAGCCACCTTCGACGACATCACCGTCACCGTCCCTGTCGCCTCCCTGCAGGCCATCGACACCTACCAGTACCTCCTCTGGACCGGCTTCGACGTTATCGACGTCAGCCTAGCACCCACGGGCGTAGCACCGCAATCCGAGCCCAACGTCGCCGTGCAATACCTCCTCACGACCGGCACATCCAACACCGCCAGCCTGACCCCTGCCACGGGGGTGTCGTACTTCGCGCTGCAGAGTTTCTACTTCGGCTGCGTGGCTTCGTCGCAGGAGACGGCGGCCGGGCTGCCGATCGCGTGCTCGTTGACGCTGACGGGCAAGCGGGGTGGCGAGACGATCGCGACGCAGGAGGTCAGCTTCGACCCTAGCGAGCTGGCGCTGACGTCTAACATGACGAAGGTCGTGTTTGCTGGGTCGTTCCAGGCGGTGGATGAGGTGACCTTTGAGCAGACGGCGGTTTTGGCCACGGCGATCAGTGTGATGTATGATGAGGTTAGCTACGCTACCTTTGCTGCGTAGGGAAGTGAGAGGGTGCTTGGGGTTGGATGGGCGCTGCTGCGGTGGACTTTTACTGGACTTTCCTGGATTGGACAGGAAGGGTGGGTATGGGATAATGATGTTCTTGCCATGCAGTGCATTGGAGGCATATACCCAATTCGGCTCAGCCCAATTATTATATAGACCTCTCTAATAACTAATAACAGCGAGTGTATCTCCTGTCTACCATACCTTAGGAGCGGCCAAGGACGGTGTCGGGCTTTAGATGCTCATTTCATGTGCCAGTGTGAATCGATGATGACTTCGTCTGGCGAGCCACCCCTGGGCGAGTGGAGTGAAGGAGGATAACCAAGATGGGCATCATTGGAAGAACTGACGAGGGGGATTCGGGTATCCTCATATACACACAGATCCCTGCAGCCATGACGCCGGTTGCTGGCTTGAGCTTCAGCCTCAATCTCAATGTCCGGCGGGATGGTGGGGCAGTTGGGCAACATTTCTTCTCGGCTCTCAATCAACACAAAGCCTCTCCTTGCAAACTGTGTCGCCTGCGCAAGAGTCATCCAGTCCACATTCTTTTGAAGGCAACGAAGCCATCCATACACCCCACGAGGCCCATCCCACCGCCATAATGGTCCAGGTCAAGCAAAAGTGCGCACTGATATGCATCGACGGCTGGGGCATCCCCTCCTCCACCAGCCCGCCTGACGGCAACGCCATCCTCAACGCGAAGACGCCATGGATGGACGAGTTCGCCAAGGACGGCAGCAAAACGGCCCAAGGCTTCACCGAGCTCGAGGCCTCCTCCCTCGCCGTCGGCCTCCCGGAGGGCCTCATGGGCAACTCTGAAGTCGGACACCTGAACATTGGCGCCGGGCGTGTCGTATGGCAGGATGTCGTGCGGATAGACCAGACGATCAAGAACGGGGAGTTGGGCAAGGTAGATGCCATCGTCAAGTCCTTCACCCACGCGAAGGACGGCAACGGGAGACTACACTTGCTGGGGCTAGTCAGCGACGGCGGCGTACACAGCAACATCAGCCACTTGAAGGAGCTGTTGAAGGTGGCAAAGGAGATTGGCGTGCCGGAGGTCTACATCCACTTCTTTGGCGACGGCCGGGATACGGACCCACACAGCGGCCTGGGCCACATGAAAGACCTGCTCGCTTTCTGCAAGGAGCAGGGTATTGGCAAAATCTCGACAGTGGTAGGCCGGTACTACGCCATGGACCGCGACAAGCGCTGGGACCGCGTCGAGATCGGCATGAAGGGCATTGTGACGGGCGAGGGCGAGGACTCCAGTGACCCCGTCAAGACGATCGAAGAGCGCTACGCCAAAGGCGAGACGGACGAGTTCCTCAAGCCCATCATCGTCAACGGCAAAGCGGGCCGGGTGCAGAACGACGACACGCTCTTCTTCTTCAACTACCGCTCCGACCGCGTGCGCGAAATCACCCAGCTCCTCGGCGACCAAGACCGGAGCCCCAGGCCCGATTTCCCCTACCCGGCGAACATCAATGTCACCACCATGACGCGCTACAAGACCGACTTCACCTTCCCCATTGCCTTCCAGCCGCAGGTCATGGACAACGTCCTCGCCGACTGGCTCTCGCAGCAAGGCGTGAAGCAGTGCCACATCGCCGAGACGGAGAAGTACGCGCACGTCACCTTCTTCTTCAACGGCGGGCGCGAAGTCCAGTTCGAGAATGAAGAGCGCGAGATGATATCGTCCCCGAAAGTCGCGACGTACGACAAGGAGCCCAAGATGAGCGCGATGAAAGTCGCGGAGCGCATGTGCGAGCGCATCCGGGAGGGCAAGCACGAGTTCATCATGAACAACTTCGCGCCCCCCGACATGGTCGGGCACACGGGCGTGTATGCGGCCGCGGTCGAGGCGTGCACGGAGACGGACGCCGCGATAGGCAAGGTGTACGAGGCGTGCAAGGAGGCTGGGTATACGCTGTTCATCACGAGCGACCATGGGAATGCGGAGGAGATGTTGACGGAGGAGAAGACGCCCAAGACGAGCCATACGCTGAACAAAGTGCCGTTTGTCATGGCGAATGCGCCCGCGGGGTGCAGTCTGAAGAAGACGGAGGGCGTGTTGGGGGATGTGGCGCCGACGGTGCTGGAGGTTATGGGGTTGGGGCAGCCCAAGGAGATGGGGGGCCATAGTTTGTTGGTTAGGGCGTAGATCTATCGGCAGCTGGGGTACCGCACGGCGGTTTCTATCTAGTGTTGATTCGCTTGGGCTAGCTAAGGCAGGCAGGCGTATGTGTACAGTGCACAGGACTGGTAGCTGGTAGCGGATTATAGAGGCGTCTGTCTAGCCGTGCGAAGGCATGTCTGCCGGTGCAGCGTCCCCTTCTGGATCATCCGTAGACGATTGTTCGCAATGTGCATGCGCTTTGCTCGCTTAGGTCCAGCCACCTCCCGTGACGTCCATCAGCGCCTGCCCGAACTCCTGTTTGCCGAAGTACTGCTCGCCGAGCTGCTTGAGCGCCGTCAGGTGCGGGCCCGCATCGTCGGCATTGACGAGATCCTTTCAGGCGGATGCCATCTTGGCCATAGCGGATATGTGGCAGGCGAGGGCGGTGTCGCCTGCGTGGTCGTTGGTGGAGCGGGGTGTCTGGAGCTTGGGCTGGGTAGGGTACCCGCCTAGCATAAAATGAGATCTGAGGGGCGGGGGTAGCGTCAATAGCAGGGAGTGTGCGGCGAGGCCGCTGCGAGCAACAGCTTACCGGGGATGTCGGAAAGTCGGCGGTCGGACCTGTGAGAGGAGCGCTGGAGGGTGGTTGCCACATCACCTCCTTCAACCGCCCTTGGGTATCTATCACTGGCCTTGGCAACACGACCGCGTTCCCGCAATGCCACTAAGCGAGCCCGGAGGGTGGGTCTTCGTGTACTTTAGGCGAGAAGGGGGAGTCCTCCGCGAGATCCCCACCGTCATCGCGGAGTAGACACGACCGTGCGGCGGGCTTGCTCTCATGCGTCGCGGACGATGACCATATTGGTGTGGCTGGAGTCTGGGTGGCCCGGGGGTGGCGTTTGCTGTCCCTGCTTGTTTGATATCCTGTACGCCTATTGCGAAGGCTTCTACCACTGCGGGCTCAATCTTGCAGTAGTACTCTCGTCCAAGCGGGGTCCTAGAGTAGGCCGTGTAAAGTGCAATGTGTGTCCTGTGAGAATTGGTGGTGGTAGGCCAAGAGGCACGGAGTCATTGGGAAGCGCGAGAGGAATGGTATGCGAAGCTTAGGAGAGGAGGGACAAAGACAATCCTTACATCAGGCGCCGGTCTGGTCGTACGCCGCAGTCTTCATAGCGTAGCACGTAGTGATATATTGGTATTCTTTTCCATTTCTGGTTATAGGAGAGCAGCTCAACAGCTTCGCAGGGGAGCGGCGTGGGCGGCGGCTTGAGTGTACTGTGGATAGACAGCAGTGTTGATGCCTCCCCGGTATACCAGTCGTCGCCCTGAGGCACTGGAGTCTGGGGGCCCTTTTGTATTTGCGCCCGCCGTCTCGCCAGTCCACAGATGGAAGCGTATCAGAGTGAGCCCAGGATTGTTTGGGAAGGTACGTAGCGTAAAGTAAGCAATTGAGCTCATACTCAGAACTACTCTGCGAGGCCTGCCGAGCTTTAACCGATTCAGCTATATAAACATTAGTCAATTTCCAGCAACTCAGTTCCATCTCGCGTGGAATGCTCAACAATTAGGCTCTCTTAGCTCAGTGGTAGAGCGTGGGATTGCAGTCCGCAACAATCCTAAGGTCTGTCGTTCGAACCGGCAAGGGAGCTTGAAGCTACCTATTCTCCTTCATCTTTTTGTTTTTGTGATGTGGACAAAACACAGACGGAAAGACGACCCAAATCAGAAGTGACGAGAGAGTCTTGAATCGTGCCACCACTTTTTGCCCGCCCCCTCTCTTTCACGAGCAAGACCCCACAGCTTAGCGACCAGGGTCCGGCTCCTGACAGGTAGGTAGGTACTAGGCAAGCGGTAGAGGGTCAGGTAAGGCTGCGCAAGTGCTTCTCTTCTCTTCTCCAACCATTGCGCGTCCAAGCAACAGTACTAGCACACCCACACACACACCGCACCACTATCACTACCGGCAACACTACCCACACCGATCTATCCTGTCTGCGCCCGCCCTTATCCCCTCCTCAACCCTCCTCCACCACAGCCCACGCGATGGCAGCGCCCCCACCGCAACCGCAAGCGCAAGTGCAGCCCTGCCGCTACAAGACGGGCAAAACGCTGGGCGCTGGCTCCTACAGCGTGGTCAAGGAGTGCGTGCACATTGACACGGGCCGCTACTATGCCGCCAAGGTCATCAACAAGCGGCTCATGGCCGGGCGGGAACACATGGTGCGCAACGAGATCGCCGTGCTGAAGCGCGTGTCCATGGGGCATCAGAATATCCTGACGCTGGTCGATTACTTTGAGACGATGAACAATTGTATGCATAGCCTACCACATGAAGGTGGTGGTGGTGAGATGGTATGGGTGGTGGAGTACAGCGCTGACGAAATCTGCGATACCTAGTATATCTGGTCACAGACTTGGCCCTCGGCGGCGAGCTCTTCGACCGCATCTGCCGCAAAGGCTCCTACTACGAGTCAGACGCCGCGGACCTCATCCGCGCCACCCTCTCCGCCGTCGCCTACCTGCACGACCACGGCATCGTGCACCGCGACCTCAAGCCCGAGAACCTCCTCTTCCGCACGCCCGAGGACAACGCCGACCTCCTCATTGCCGACTTCGGCCTGTCGCGCATCATGGACGAGGAGCAGTTCCACGTCCTGACCACCACCTGCGGCACCCCGGGCTACATGGCGCCCGAGATCTTCAAGAAGAGCGGGCACGGCAAGCCCGTCGACGTGTGGGCCATTGGGGTCATTACGTACTTCTTGCTGTGCGGGTACACGCCGTTTGATCGGGATAGCAATTTGGAGGAGATGCAGGCCATTCTCGTCGCGGACTACAGTTTCACGCCCATGGAGTACTGGCGCGGCGTCTCGCTCACCGCACGCCAGTTCATTAAGAGATGTCTGACGATCGACCCGACGCAGCGCATGACGAGCCACGAGGCCCTCTCGCACCAGTGGATCGCTGGACCAGAAAGTGGGAGGGGAGAAGAGGATCTGCTGCCGACGGTGAAGAAGAACTTCAATGCCAGGCGCACATTGCACAAGGCGATCGATACCGTGCGCGCCATCAACCAATTGCGGGCGGGGGGCATGGGCATGATGGACGGCGCGTTGTCCAAACAGCCGAAGAATGTGTCGGATGAGGTGCGCGCGGCGCAACCGCAGGATGACGGCGTTGTGAGCGGGCAAGGGCAGATGGATGTCGATATGACGGATGCAGGTGCGGCGACAGATGGAGGCGCGGAGAAGTCGCAGCAGCAGGGGGATGGCAAGGTCGACCCGAGGGGACACGGCCGGGGCCAGACGGCGGCGCAGATCCAGGAGCAGCAGCGGCGGATCGAGGAGATGCAGCGGGGACTGTGGCAGGGGCGGAATAATGCCCAGGCGGCGTAGTTTGCCTGGCTTGGGCGCGATTATTTGACTGACTGACTGACGGACGGACCGGCGGGGCCGGGCGGGGCGTTGGGGAGTCGTGCTTGCATGGCACATGGGACTATGAGACGAATGATGATGATTGGGTGCGGACTGATGGTTTTGGACATAGGGCGAGTTGAGTGTTACTTTCGTGGATACCCGAGCGAGAAGTACGTGCGCCACGGCCCATGGGCTCCGTTCGTTTTGAGCGAGCACTCTTCTGCGGCGCAGTATTTGTGATATGCCTTTCTTTTGAACGCTGTGTCGAGAGTACGCGTATTTCTTGCTGCTGGCGCGTCGCAGCCCGAGCTCTTCCGTCCTTTGCTGCATCATCATTACCACTTACCACTCACTCCGCACAGGTGAAGCCTTCCGGTCAGGCCATATAGGCTTACAGCCTTCTAGAACTACTCCCCTTTGAGCCTTGCACATCACTCATGTGAGCTCTAGAGATAGACCCGAGTAGGCGACCGCCGAGGAACCGCCTCAAGCCACACACGACGCGATCTGGCGTTGCTTGTTGCGGCGAGCCTCCTGCGGCCTGCCCCGTCTCTCTCAGGTCCGATGAGGCGGATGAGCATCAAGCACTACTGCAGTCTGCAGGTGGCTGCCATCTGGTTCCTCCGTTCCTGGCTAGCCGCCTACCCACTAGCCGCCAACCGGTGTCATCTCCGCCCCAATCGGGCATCTCCGCGCCCTAATCGGCCCGTCTACTCGGTGCTGTTGCGGGGCGCCCACGTTTTCCGCAAAGTCAAGCCGCAATATCGCGGGGAAACGGGATGCGAGGTGACGTTGGGTTGCGGTAATAATGGTGCCTCGCAAAAAGATTTGCACTCCTCCTAGGCTCCTCATCAAGCCTCCGCGTCGCACGAGAGTCTCTGGGGATCCAGGCCATGCATGCGTGGAGAGCGCATCGAGGCGATGAGTATAATTGTCCGAGATGGCGCATGGTTTGCTACAAAACCTAGTGAGGGCCCAGGTTCGTGAGACTTCTGTACTTTTCTTAGCTTCCCATTTACTACTTGCTTTTGATCTTGGGGCAAAGATGAAGACGTTCACTTCCATTGCCGCTCTGCTGAGTACCTTGCCATTGGGTTATGCCCAGCATCACTACGGCTCTGCAAGCTGGAGCGGTGCTCACAGCGGCTCCCGCACCCTCTCCACCCGCTATGCATCAGCCAGCGCCTCCTCTTCTTCCAGCGCGGCCAGCAGCTCCAGCACTGGCAGCAGCGGTACCGGCAGTGGCAGTCAAAGCTGCACCCCTCTCACAACCAACGATGTTGAAGCGATGGGCAACAACTCCCTCTTCACGCGCTGGCGGCCACACAGCCATTTCCTGGCGCCCGCTGGCTGGATGAACGACCCGTGTGGGCCTATGTACGATCCTACGCGGGATATCTATCATTTGTTCTATCAGTGGCATCCGCAGCATATCAACTGGGGGAATATTTCGTGGGGGTATGCGACGAGTAAGGATATGGTTACTTGGACCGACCATGTAAGACGAGCTGGCACACGGAGTGTTTGCTGAAGTCCGCTTTCTAAGAAGTAAACGCTGATGCTGTCTACTAGAATGGCTGGGAAGACTCCGAAGCCCTTGCGCTTGGCCCGACTGGTTATGGGAACTACAACGGTCTCGGTATCTTCAGCGGGACTGCCCAGCCTGTGAATCTGCATGGCGAAGTGGACGGCACGCTCCTTCTCATGTACACCTCCGTCGCGCACCTCCCGACGAGCTACAACATCGAGTACCAGCCATACACCGAGACACAGAGTCTGGCCTACAGCACCGACGGCGGCAAAACCTTTCAGAATTACGAAGGCAACCCGGTCATCAACACGACGACGGGGCTGCCACCCATGGATTGGAACATCACTGGCTTCCGCGACCCGTTCCTCGAGCCGTGGCCGGCGATGGACGCCCTGCTCGGCGTGGAGGACCCGCACTACTACGCCGTATTCGGCTCTGGCATCAAGGGCGTGGGTCCGCGTATGCCCTTGTGGACCGCGCCAGCGAGCGACTTGACGCAGTGGACCTTCCTCGGTGCGCTCTGGGAGCCCGTCGACAACAGCTCTCTCGGCCCAGTCTTGTCGACGGGATCGTACGGGTACAATTTCGAGGTCTCGGGCTTCTTCAGCTTGCCGGACAGCAGTGGCGAGCTGCACTACTTCATCAACATGGGCACCGAGGGTGGCAATGTTTCGTTCCATGAGTCCTCGCACTGGGCGCTGTGGAACGAGGGTGTCGTGTCTCGTCGTGAAAACGGTAGTGCGGAGTTCACGCCTATTGCCGGTGGTGCTGGTGATTGGGGCCTGAGCTATGCCCTGACGAGCTTCAACGATACGAAGAACGACCGGCGGGTGCAGTGGGCTTGGGCTCCCGAAGACCTTGTCGGCGATGCCGGGCTCTTTAGCGCGAGTCAGCAGGGTTTCCAGGGCAGTCTGACGCTGCCGAGGGAGCTGTTCGTGCACGAGGTCAGCAGTGTGGTCAACACCAATGGCACGCTGGCCGAGAACCGCGAAGCTGTGCTGTCGCAGAGCCAGAACGGCACCTTCACGGCCCGGACTCTGGGCAAGCGGCCCCTGCCGGATGTCGTGGAGGGGATCACGGCCAATGCGACGCACACGTCGTATGGCAGCAGCACCTACTCATCCTCCCAGATCATCCAAGAGCAAGGCGACGCGCACATGGAGCTCAAAGCCACCTCCAGCTCCTCCACCGGCGCCTTCGGCCTCGTCATCGGCGCCTCGCCGAACATGACCGAGTACACGACCATCGTCTACGAGCCCTCGAACAACACCGTCCTCGTCGACCGCGCGTACAGCAGCACCCTCGTCGGCTTCTCCAATGTTACCGTCACGGGCTACTTCTCCCCGTACACCATCATGTCCGCCAACGGCACGGCGGCGCAGGAGGCCATTACCATGGACGTCTTCGTCGACGGCTCGCTGGTCGAGATCTACATCAACGAGCGCTTCGCGCTGGCGACGAGGATCTACCCGAGCATGGAGTGCAGCACGGGCTTTGGCGTGTATGTGGGTGACGGAGGGAGTGTGGCGTTTGAGAGTATCGAGGCGTGGATGGGGACGCTGAATGTGTGGCCGGACAGGCCGTTGAATAGCAGTAGCCCGCTGGTGTGGGATACGGCGGCGCAGACGGATAATTATACTTGGTGGAGTGGGAACTGATGGGGAGCTGTATGAGATGATACAGCTATGACAGCTTGGGAGAG